GGGGAGAAGGATGCCCTGTACTTTACTTGGCTATATGGGCTCTCGTCCTGAGGGAGTCTGCCCAAGGAGTTAGAAAGGAAGAAATGAAAGATTCTGATGAGCTTGTACGGAGCTTTTCCTTACAAATATGAAATTAGATTTCTTTCCTCCTTGACTGCTCAAACCAGACAAGGAATAAAGCAGCATTTCATTCAAGCGAGAATTAATAAAGAGGGAGAGGTTGGCTGGAGGGGTTGGTTGGGGGAGGGAGCTTGAAGAAGGCAGGCAAGCTCAGTGAGACTGTTCTGGATTTGGGGAAAGAAGTGAAGCCTGGCGTAGGAGGGAATAAGGCATATTATTCTGTTCCGGATGCCAACAAAAGATGTTGTTTAGTGCTCTCTCCAGTTCTCTGGTAGGCATGTTCACTAGGAATTAGGTGTAGGCAATCGTGTAATTTAGGCATACCAGAGCTACTTCAGGTAATTGCCAAGTGAAGACACAGTGGATGGAGGAAGAAGAAAGGTTCAGGGGAAAAACACAGGCTTTTTTTCCCTGCAATACTTGGGCTCAAGTTCCTGTTCTCTCTGATGTTGAGCAAATCAAAGAATCTGCTCTAAGTTTTCCTGCCATAAAATGAAGATCCTGTGACATTACAGTGGACGGAAGATTACCAGACATAGCAGTGTTAGGATTAGCTGCATGTTAGAGTCACATATACTGAGAGATCTTGGTGGATGTCAGATGCCCTTTCCTATGGAGACGAGTTTGCCTTGCATTTGGCATCAGTTCGTAAGGATCACTACCTCCAGCCCTTAATGGTCACTTCTGTCTCTCAGGAGACGTTTCTGTAGCAACTTGTTCCATGCTGGCGGTGGGCCTCTGTGCTTGAGCTTGCATTTGTTGCTCTTGGTGGTTTGTTTGGGCTTTTATTCCTATTCATTGCTGCCTTTGGCACAGGACATCCTTGGTAGTATTCTGGAGCACTGTTATTTCAGGGTGTGAAAGATTCCTAGGCCTTTAATCTGGGAATACAAACTACATCTGTCACCTGGGTATCTGTGGCAGTTTCTAGGCAACCACAAGAGTTTGTTTCTTTCTGCAATTCATATTTAAGAAATAATTTGCTCATGCATGAACCAGAATCAGTCTGAGCACCACCCCAGGAGACAGAAATTGTAAACTGTAATTTAAGCTAATTCTAGTCTAAAGCATGAATTAGAGTATTTTATATAATCTTGGAAAATATACCATATAAATATATGTAAGCACAGAACAGGTACAATTAATGTGAGCGTGGTAGGAAGCTTTAAGTAACTCTGGAAATGTGAGAAACCAAGTTGGAACATATTCTTGACATGTAAAAATATTTCCCACCTGCCTTGTTTGCATAAGAACGAGGTTCTAGCAAGTACATATTTGCATGTCAAAGTTAGAAGTGGGGAAAATATTTTCACCCTCATAAGAAAAATGCATACTCTTGGCACAGGCAATTTCCATTTAGTAAGTTTAAGGTATCGAAGTCCTTTCATGCTATATGGAAAGTGTAGGAACTTGCGACAGGGATTCCATTTCAATGAGTTGATTTGCAAAGGCGACCACGTGGAACAGTAATTGATCCGATGTCTTTCCCTGCATTAATTTGTAATACAATTGTTTGTGGCAGTCCCAAGCGACTTACGCTTCTGAGTTTCATCTCACTGTCCTGTATCTCAGAATGAAAGTTCTAAATGCTGCGTGCTTAATTGAAAGTAAGTGCCTCGAAGATGCAGTAAATTCGAGGTAATCTGGAGTTCTAAAATTATGCCTGATTTGGAGCCGCTGCTAATGCACACAGTGGTCAGCAAATGCTGGCACAGCCGGAGCCTGTGAATCTGTGGAGATTCTCTCCTAACAGTAAAGCACCCTGGAAAATGTATTTGGGACTAATTATGGCACCTTTTAGACTATTAGTAACCTAGCTTTAGGCCATCGCTTTGAAGGCATGTTACATTCCTTCAGAAACCCTCTGCAAATGTCCTGTTGCTTAAGAAATAGGGATTGCATAGGCAGGCTTCATGGGCCATTTAACTAACGTGCTAGAGACTGTAGATAAACAAGATCCAATTATATCATACCTATTCAAAATAAGGCAGTAATTATGTATATAAAAGTGAGATGTAAAAAAATATGCTGCCATGTAGCTGTCGAGATGAGCCTTGTCACTGTCCTGTTAAAGGAGTTGAAAAGGGCTGCTGATTCACTGTAGCAGAGTAGTAAAATAATCGTATCTTGAAAAGGCACATCTGGGAATCGGTAGATCTATTCTGGAATTTGCCCACAGGATTGCTCTCTGAATTTGAACTGCATGTTACCCAAATTCTGAGTTTCTGTGAATTTCATTCTGTTGTTCAATCTGTTGATGTAAAGTGGGGTTATGCTATCCTTTCTGCTCAAGGCTTTGTTCGTAAACATTTATGATGCTCTAGTAATAATTAATGTAACACGTTAATAAAATAGCATACACTTCATTTTTCCCTTTTATTAGTTCACTTCCTGCTCCCTTGTGTTTAATGCGTTAGCTGAGAGCAAAGTGAAATTAAAACAGTTTTTGGAGGACTGCGGGGAAGAAGTATTTCCTTCCTCAAGTGTCCTAATCAGACCTTTTAATTTCAGCCTGTCATTTTGTTGCAGGGAAGGTGGGGGATTAAAGGTCAAGAATGCAAAGATCCTTATGAGGGAAGCAGATGCCGAGTGGTGTCCTGCTATATGAAAATATTTTGAAAGCAGCAATGTAGTCCCATAGCTGCTGGGCACTGCTTTCCTCAGCAGAGCATTTTAGCTGCTGTTGGGTTCCTGGGAGCAAATGGGTACTATTCGGGTACTGCTCAGCTGCTACCATCATCGCATTTGATGTAGCCTGGAGGATCACAGAATCACAGATATAAAACTTGGAGGATGTCAAAAGGATGTATCTAAATGTGGCATATTAGCAATATGAGATACCAGCCCCCATGTGGGCTATCTGGGAAGAATATCACAGAATCAAAGGATATTTTGAAGGAGTATTTTAGTACAGTCAGTGCTGTGCTAAAAGTCTTCTGGTCTTCTAGTTTATAGTTGTCTGATAGTTTTGACCTGATCCTGAGCTGTAATGTTGGGCTGCAGTGAAATGGAATACACAGGAGCACTGGCCAGAAGGCCAACCGTACTCTGGGCTGCATCGGGAGAAGTGTGGCCAGCAGGTCGAGGGAGGTGATTCTGCCCCTCTACTCTGCTCTGGTGAGACCTCACCTGGAGTACTGCGTCCAGCTCTGGAGCCCTCAGCACAAGAAGGACATGGAAGTGTTGGAGCGGGTCCAGAGGAGGGCCACAAAAATGATCCGTGTGGCCTTTCAATACCTAAAGGGGGCCTACAGGAAAGATGGGGAAAATCTTTTTAGTAGGGCCAGCTGTGACAGGACAAGGGGGAATGGATTTAAACTAAACCAGGGTAGGTTTAGACTGGATATAAGGAAGAAGTTCTTTACAATGAGGGTGGTGAAACACTGGAACAGGTTGTCCAGAGAGGTGGTGGAGGCCCCATCCCTGGCAACATTCAAGACCAGGTTGGATGGGGCTCTGAGCAACCTGATCTGGTTAGCGGTGTCCCTGCTCACTGCAGGGGGTTTGGACTAGATGACCTCTAGGGGTCCCTTCCAACCCAAAACATTCTATGATTCTTCTTTAAAAATAAGCAGTCGGTTAGGGATGTAATGGCATGTAAAATGCAATGTCTCTAAGACTGGACATGACTTTTTGAAAAGAATGTTAAGCATACAACTGAAGCTAAGGTAATGTATTGTAAGACAGTATTAGATGTGATTTTATGTGTTGTTACTGTCTGGATAGCCATAAACTGGATGAAATGAAAGCTCTCTGAAAGCATTGGGCATCTCGTGAATGGATTTCAGTTCCTCACAGGAGATGAACAGCACTTCTCATTGTTAATAGGTCACGGCTGGAGACATAGCAGGAGTTGCATTTGTACTCCTGTTTGGACTAAGCCACTCCAGGAAAACTAATGTAGCCTGATCCTAACACCATTGTGGCAGAGAAAGCTCTTTGTTGGGATTTTTTTGTTATCTACCTAATGAGTACAGTCTGTTTGTGTGAGCACATGCAAGCATATGCAGAATGTGGACTGCCGGTGTTTGATACTGTAAAGCACTGCCTCAGCGTGGTCCTATCCAAAAAGACTTGCTAGCAAAATGACTACAGCCAAAAGCAATTGAAGAGGTATTCCTGAGCATACAGGGCACCCTTCTTAAACCCATATATTCATATGGGAAGGTGCTGTGACTTAGAGAGAGATGCAGAGTTTTGTCACACACAAAACTTAATTCAGTAGGTATGGTTGATATGTATGAAGTTCAGTTTTAAAAGTCAGGGCTTTCATATCACGTGTCTCTATGACATTTTCCAGACTGCGCACACTCCTTTGGTTTTGTAAGTTGCCTGGAATACTGCTGTATTTTCCTCCCTCGTTTGTTCTGTGGTGGCTGATATACAAATATGTACTGATAATTGACTTTCAATTCAGACACGTGAATTTTGTCATGCAAAATGTAACTGCTATTTACCTTGTTACTTCTCTTTTGGATTAGCCAGTCCTGTGAACTGGATGGCATGATGGTGACCCCTCTGGTAAAGGTGTTGCATTCATTTTCAAGCAGGGCAAACTTTAAAATTACCTTTTACAATCTCACAGGAATAAGATTGGAAGAAACCTTTCTACTGTCATCTTAGCTCTTTGGCCAAAATATGAACTCTCCTATTCTTTTTGGCTTTGAAATGCTGATTCTAGCCTTCTTGTGGGTTCTTAAACACCTTCTCAAATGACCCATTTTAATAACCCAAAAGCTATTCTATAACGAGCAGCCATAATTTAGTCCAAAGCTCTAGGGGACCCTTGCAGTTCAGCAATGAATAGTTAATGCAGTATAATGTTTAGCAGGTTATTAGTTTTCACTGTACAAATGCTGATCAGGGAATGCTTTTATAAGGTGTTTAAAAGAAAATGTAATTAACTGGTTGCGTGCTTCTGTTGCAGCTCAAATTGAAATTATTCCATGCAAGATCTGTGGAGACAAATCATCAGGAATCCATTATGGTGTCATTACATGTGAAGGCTGCAAGGTAAGCTTCTAAAATATTAAGTCTTAAAGCAGCATTTAGCCTTTTGATAGTGATTATTTTTCTTCCTTTTTTAAAGAGCAAGCATTGCACCAAAGTTGAATCTGTGGATTCCATTTCAAAGAATATGAACTCAGTTGGGGATTCTGAAGTACTGGTTTTGTTTGGGTTTTAAATAGGGCATTTTTGTCTCTCTCGCACATGTGCACATACACACGTCTCAGGACAAGCTTCAAAAATCATGCACTTGTGCTGTGCGTGCTGTAAACTGTCTCTCTGTGCAAAAGCAGAAGAGGTACAGAAAGATGAGCCTCTTCAAGCACACCACAAAGAATCTGTTCTGTGGATCCACTTGAGAGAGGGAGTTTGTGGCTTTCTTGAATCTCCCTCTCCATTTTGCTTTGTAAATTGCTAAGAAGCTGTGTTGAAATATGTGAGAGCTCTCCAACTTCTCCATTTTCTTTTGTAATCTGCTACAGTTACAAATATGTTCTGTTCAGTATGGAAGACAATGTTGCACAAATAGCACATGCTACTGGTGTTACGCATGCTCAGGTCTTCCTGGAAGCAGTGCCTATTCCTTGCAATGCAGCCATTCCTGGGTAAGGTTTAGACTTTGGATTTTTTCTTGGATTTGTACCTTCAGTAACTCCAGTGAGCACGGATTACCCTAGAAGTATTTCTATTTTATTTAGTTTGTGTCTCTCAGCCAAGAATTAAATCGGACATCACTAACACTAGGCCGGAGTGCTGTGAAGCTAATCACTCCTTTTTATCACTGGTGCAGAATTAAAGTGCTAGCTTGGGTATGACAGAGTGTGCACAGCTGTGCTCTAGCTTGTTGCTTTTTTCACGTATGTACGTGTTGCAATCCCATGCTAATAGGTTTTCCACTGTTAATCTGCACTTTAGGTGTGAAGAATTTATGACAGTTTTTAGTCTGCTCTCCTGACGTGCTTGATACTACCACCCATCTTCCTTGCTTTCACATTATAGAGATTTCTTTTGTGTTCTTCCAAGGAAGATTTTTGTGTTTTCATTAACACATTCTCTCAGTCTCATGGAGTACTGGCAAGAAGGAAGGGGGGAAAAACAAATCCAAGAACGTTAGAAAGATATGGGGCAGCACCTTCTGCCCTTTGTAATTGCTGGTTGCAATGGAAAACACAAGAAATGCACTAAAAATGCACTGATAATAAAGTGGTTACTTTTTTCAACTTTATATGGTTGAGTAGCACTTACCAAATTTCAGCTGTGTGAAGTGGCAGACATTTACAGTGAGAATTCCACTGTTTGACTATCTTGTCAAAGAGTATCAAGTTATGTTCAAGGTCCGAGAGCTCTTTAATCCTTAAACACTCTGGGACCAGTATACCTGAGAGACTGCCTCAAGAATCCGTTGTGAACATTGTTGTCAACAGGCTGAGCTTGACATAATGCTAACGCTCATCTATGCTGAAAACCGGCCTTTCTCAGCATGGCTTGTTGCAGAACAGGAACAGGCTGCCAAAGGGAAGGAAAGTTTCCAGCTGTATTATCTTTTGCTTCATCTTCATGCAGGTCTTTGGCCTTGCCTTCTCTGAAGTCCTGTATGTGAGAAAAGCCCCCACGAAAAGCAGCAGGACAGCTGCATGCAGAAGGGGGCAACAGAGCGTACCATACTTGCAGCCTCATTAGTTAGTACGTAGCTGGTAGGCACTTAGCACTGCGGGTAAGAGACAGACATATCCATCAAGCATTCCTCCGTCAGAGTGACTGCACTTCCCCAAGAATAAATGCAAACATGAGTTATTAGGGGAAAAGTCCTTTGTGTACCTCCAGCAGACAAACAATAGATGCCCGATAATAATAGCCTGATAGTGAGAAATGAGTGTGCAGTTCCTTAGGGTTTAGAACAAATGGTTTTCATTTTAATTCTGTATAAACTGAGGTCTGGGGGGGGCTCTGTGCAATCCTCAGTCTGGTCCTGAGAATCTCACCTGAATGGTCAGCTGGTGGGAAAGGGCAGAAGGGAAGGCAAGCAGGCAAGTACACTCAGCACACTGAAACCCATGTGAACCTTGAAAGGCGATGGCCCCATGAATGAAGTTATACATTTTCTTCTCTTGGAGTAGCAGAATAAAGTTTTCTAGCCATACAATTTCAGGCAGATTTTAACACCAATGAATATCAACTGTTAACTGAGTTACTTCCCTTTCAGAAGGGAAATAACTCCGAAGCTCACTCGTCTTTAATGCCAGAGCCCAGATGACCTGCAAGAAGTGAGAGATGGGGGAGTGTTAGTGGGCAAAAGTTGCAGGAATAGTTTAAATTATCACGGCCTAGACAGCATTTAAAATGCCCTGCTGTAGCAGATGGATTTTGTTTGTG